TTTAATGAACCATTATTAAAGCAGAATAAAGCCTTTTGTATTTCCTTTCCAACAGCAATTCCAGTTACTAAGTTTTCATTTTATTTTCTTATTTTTTTTGTCATTTCGGGGAAGTGGAGTCTGATTTAGAAGGATTTCAGAATAAATGTGGTATCTCCACATCTCTTCCAGCCTTGCAATGTTACCAGCACTGGATTCTGGATTCACTAGTGATTTAGGGGGAAAGAAAGAGAAGGCTTTCTTAAAATAAATCTTCTACATGTTTCATAGCATGATTATCATCAGCAATGGCAAAAAAAAGTCATGGCAGTTGCTATACATCAGTGAAATAATTAAGTACAAAGTTAATCTTAAGAAGCACTTAAGCACACCTAAGTCATATGTTTAGCTTAATCTTGCTGAAATGGCTTTTTAATTAGATTATACGAATTGATAATAATAAAGATGTACTTCTAGGATTAACATGTTCATATTGTAATAATTAGCTTTGAAAAAAAACCAAAACACTTTGATCAAAAATATACTCTTCAACTCAGTGTATTTCTAGAGCTTCGACTTAACAGCACGTAATAATATACACATACACTGGTATTACTGCTCCATAAAAGGAATGCTCAGAGAAAGCAAGCATGGCATTCATGTTCTCAATAATTATTTCTTAAATGGCAGTTACTTGCTGTCTTATCTATGTGAAATTTTTTGTGAATGATTCTACATAACATTTTTATAAAACGTTTTTGCTGCTTGTGGAGCTATTTACCATTTAAATATTCTAAAGAAATACATCTTCAATACGAAAACATGTAGCTTTTAACCATTTTCGTATCTTAGCAGATGTTATTAATGAAAGCTCGCTCTGAAATTTCATCACATTGTTTTGTATAATTAAATGTGTTTACTTGAATAATATTTTGAGGTCTTTGAAAGCATAAAACCTGACATTAAATATGATAAATCATTAATGTGATTTTTTAATATGGAGATATAGCTAGAAATAACTTTTTCCTTGGTGGAGGTCTTTCATTTTTCTAGATCTTTCTGGTGTTTTGTGACTTAGTAGTCTTTCATTAATTATTATTTTTTTGGTCAGGTGATTTTTTTGTTGTATCATTTAATATATATGTTAAAATTTTGTATTTCATAAAATTTTAATGAATTAATTACTTTGTTATAAGTTACAAGAATACTTACTGTGGTGTTTAAGCGTGAAAACACATTTAAACTATTGCTGTGATTATTTGTGTGCTGATTTATTCAAGTAATTGTACAATTTAATTGATGCAGGTAATGAACAAACTGAAATATTGCCAGTCAGATAAATATAAGCCACTATAGTAATATACATGCTTGTCCTCAATTTAAAATGTTTCATTTCCTATGTAGTGCTCATAGTGCTGCAAAACTCCATTTTTTGTTGTGTTTTGGTTACATTCATTCCTAGTAGTTGGCAAACAGAGCAGTAAATGAATGTTATCAGAAAAAAAACTCACCTCAAGTTCTTATGCCACCATTAATTGTATAAATACACTTGCATGTTAATTAAAAAGAAAAAATATTCAGAGTTTGGAAATTGCACTGTGAACATGGTCATTCAATAGATATGCATTTTTAAGAACTATAAGTTAATTTCAGGCATCATGGACAAATTTCCTAAATAATTTTATTATTTCTTACTTGGAATGAATTGCATTGTTTTTTGTATATCAGGATAGGAAAAATATATTTGAAAAATTCTTTGATAATTTTTAATCTTGTGAATCTTAGAAAAGTGATCACTTATCAAATTTGTTCAATTAAATTATTAGTATTACAATGGGCAGCTTTTGGATTCATTGTTGCTGCATTCAGAGCAAGATTATTTTTATTTCAGCCTTAACATATTACGTTAAAACTGTAATATGAAAGTATATAACTGTAAATAAAGTTTATTGAAATATTTGAAGTGCTCATAAAATTATGTCACTTAGTGACATACTAAGTATATCCATCTTACTTATTAAATAAATTGATTCGGCGTATCTTGGTTAAAAAAATTATCCTATTATAAAACTCCTTCGCACATTTTAGACACTAGGTCTAAGCCTAGATATTTATTTAAAAATACGTAATTTATATAATAACTTAATCTGAAGCTTCAACATTAACTACTAAAACACTATTTTATCTTCGTGCCCTGCACCCAAAGTTTCTTTGACTTTCCTCTCCAAATTTGTGTTGTAGATGGCAATTCATTCTGTTCCAGATTGTGACCTATCCTATGCTTTGTCTCTAGAGATAATTTTTTCGTTCCTCATCAAGGTCTGGATGGTCCCAGTGGGTGATTTATTTCTTGTTATCTGTTAATCACTCTAATACTGGTGTTTGGCATTACAGTGTTTACTTATTTTGGAATGCATTACAGAATTTATATTAAAGTTTACTTCCTGTGTTGAGAGTCCTCTAGGCAGTAAAAAGTACTACTGTTCTCTTCCAGCTTATGAGTTACAGAACTGCCCTGATCCTCCTCCTTTTTTGAATGGATATATAGTCAACTCAGATTACAGTGTGGGTCAGTCAGTATCATTTGAATGTTATCCTGGATATGTATTGAGGGGTCAACCTGTTCTCACATGCCAGCATGGAATCAACAGGAATTGGAACTATCATTTCCCCAGATGTGAAGGTAACTTTCTTATAGTACTTTTGCCTCAGAACTCACAATAATATCTGATTTTTGTTTACTTATTTGTGTTCATGTATGTAATGCAGCTTTTGCTGAAGTACTGCAACTTTATCCTAACCTCGAGTGTGAGCAGCTGAAATCAGAATAGTATGTGCTTTTATAAATCATTCATATTTTATGAATCATGTTCCTCAGTGGTGATTTATTGTTCCTATTAATATCTGTCAGTTGTACCGATTATGAGACATGATATGGCCAGAAATTATCTTAAACTCCATGTGGTCTTTTTTTTTCCCTTCTTTTTTCTGATTTGGGGCTGAGGGTGGCAGTGTACAATGTAACATATAACATTTTCCATTTTAAAGCTTTTAATTGGACTTTCATGTAAAGAATACAACAGCAGAAAAAAAACTGACAATCCTTTAGACCTTTAGAGGCTTTGACAAAGTCTCGTGTAGGATTTTATGACAAAACTAGGTAGTCGTGTAGAACTCAAGTAGTATCATAGATAATCAACTAAGTAGATATAAAACAGGTTGTAAAAAATTATTTGCATCATAACAAGAGGCTGTGACAGAGTTATCTGTGACACTTTTTTATTTCTGAAACAATTTATTGACCTGTCATGAATAACAAGGCTATAAGAGGAATTAGACTGTCTTTACTGAGATATGATCAATCTGCATCCTTTGTAGAGTATTAGAGAATAATGGAGGGAAAATTAAAAAAAAATACCATCATTGACAGCATTAATAAATCTGTCAAAAATATGATAAACTCAAAATATATTTAAGTGTAAAACTTCTATCAGAAAAATCCTATATGTTAACTAGAACTTAAAGGATTTTCCACTTGTCACTATATTAGTGTCAGGAAGTGTATTTCAGTGTAATAAGCATACTTGTCAAATATGGAGTACTATGAAGAGGAGTGATTACGTTTCTGAGACTAGGCAATCTGATGCACGGAGCACCCTAAATGCAGGGGATTAGGGAACAGTAAAAAATGGACTCAATTCACATTTTCATCATAGAACCAGCAGAGCTGATAGACATGGCCAGCTGTCATTGGCCTGCACATTGCAACCATGAGTCAGATAGATAGTACCAACCCTTTGTCTTCCTTAGCTCATTACCTTTTTTGGACACTAGTTGGTTGTAGTTCAGGTACACATGAAGATCTGTTCTAAGATGGGAAGATGTACTAAATGCATCATACTAGCTGGTATTGCTATGGATTAAGAAAGAGAAGTGGTTAAAGACTCCTTAACCTGTACTATAAATCAAGTTATTATTAAAAGAATTCCTCCAAAAAAGGCTACTTGTCAACTAGCCAGGTGACCATACTACCCCAATGGTATAGCAGTTTTAAACCATACATCCTTCTGTGTTTCTCAGTTTTTCCATTTTCCTTTTTCCTTTTCTCTTTTTCTTTCCCTTTTCCTTTATCACTTGTTGAAAGGGAAAAAAAAATGAAGAGGGTCTGCATGAGAGTCATACGAACTCTGACAATAATATTAACTTTATGGTAAGATCTAATGAGAAAAGTTCCACAGCTAGATTGAGTGCACACAGATGAGATTAAGGTCTCACTTAAATGGGTGAGACTCATTAGTTTTCACTAATGGCCATATGTCTACTCAGATCCATGCTTGCATCCATAATCAGTCAGTTGCCCCACACTGAGACTCGAAAGAGAGCACATTATTACATATTTGCTACCCTTGAATTAAATCAACTGCCTTTTCATGGCAAATTCATTTGCCTACAGATTTCATTCAGCAAGTGTATGCTAATTTGCGATTCTGTCTTCATTTTACTTGTCATATGAATAATTAGCATACAAACTGCAATTGAAGTACCATTAAACATGGCTAAAAACTGTCAGAAATAAAGTGTAATGCTATTTGGGGCAGTGAAAGAACAATTGGCCCTTTTTTTTTTCAGCACTGTGTTCCAGTTCAGTTAGGGTTCAGTATTACGGAAACATGCAGACATTGTTTGCTTGTTTACTTATTTCTTAATCTTCAATGTAAGGAAAAGGTTCCCTTCTTAAATGTGTGCTAAATTAGTTTCAAGAATTCTGTGTGCAAGCAGTACTCCTGATAGATTTTGGTGGACTTTAAGAAATAAAATCAGAAAGACATCAGGATAAAAAATTTCTTAGAAATAATACTTTCTGTCTCTGAGAAGCAACTAACCAAGTAGAAAATGCTGTCTTTAAGACCTAGATTGTCTTGTGCTGTGTGGTTTTTAGGATTTGGGAGTATTTTGATATTCCATTTGTAACATGCAAAAGTATGTTTCTCCTACTAATTTTTCATTTGTTTTCTTTTCAGCTCCTTGTGGCTACAATGTAACTGCTCAGAATGGTACAGTTTATTCCCCAGGATTTCCAGATGAATATCCAAATTCCAAGGACTGTACTTGGTTAATTATTGTACCTCCAGGCCATGGGATTTATATCAACTTTACCTTACTCCAAACTGAGCCTGTGAATGACTACATTGCAGTTTGGTATGCAATTTTTCAAAACAAAAATGGTTTTTTTTCTGTTTGAGTTATCAGATCTCACTGTCCCAATATACAGCTTTTGCTTGGTATTTCTCTTCAGATTGGCACATGTGCCAAAGAACAGCATAAAGCAAGTCCAACAATTATATGGAAAAAAAATAATGATATATCACTCCCTGAACTCTTTAGGAATATTGTTACAAAAATACTTTGAATCTCAATTGCAGTTAGTTCTTCTTTGAGCTCTCTGTTTTCTAAGTGAGATCATGTGAGGTCGAAGTGATGTAATAATCTGCATAATGTTGCTTTATATGTTCCATGAACATATGAGGCAATATCACAGAATCACAGAATGGTAGGGGTTGGAAGGGATCTTGAAAGATCATCTAGTCCAACCCTACTGCTAGAGCAGGATCACCTAGAGAAGATCACACTGGAACATGTCCAGGCAGGTTTTGAATGTCTTCAGAGAAGGAGACTCCACAACCTCTCTGGGCAGCCTGTTCCAGTGCTGTGTTAACATTATGTGTGTTCCAGTTTGTGACCATTGCCTCTTGTCCTGTCACTGGGCACAACTGAGAAGAGTCTGATCCCATCCTCCTGACAACTACCCTTTAGATATTTATAAACATTAATGAGATCCTCTCTCAGTCTCCTCTTTTCGAGGCTAAACAGACCCAGCTCTCTCAGCCTTTGCTCATATGGGAGATGCTCCAGTCCCCTCATCGTCTTAGTGGCTCTATGCTGGACTCTCTCTAGTAGTTCCTTGTCCTTCTTGAACTGGAGAGCCCAGAACTGGACACAGTATTCAGATGTGGCCTCACTGGGGCATAGTAGAGGAGGAGGAGAACCTTCCTTGACCTACTGATCACAATCTTAGTGCATCCCAGAATGCTGTTGGCTTTCTTTGCTGGCTCATGGTCAGCCTGCTGTCTACTAGGACTCCCAGGTCCTTTTCCCCTGAGCTGCTCTCCAGCAGGTCAGCCCCCATTCTGTACTGATACATGGGGTTGTTCTTCCCCAGATGCAGTACTCTATACTTGTCCTCGTTGAATTTCATGAAGTTTCTCCCCACTCAACTCTCCAGCCTGTCCAGGTCACACTGAATGGCAGCACAACCTTCTGGTGTGTCAGCCACTCCTCCCAGCTTTGTATCATCAGCAAATTTGCAGAGGGTACACTCTATCCCATCGTCCAGGTCACTGATGAATATATTGAACAGAGCTGGACCCAGTTCTGACCCCTGAGGGACACCACTAGGCATGGGCCTCCAGCTAGTCTCCACCCCACTGACTACAGCTCTCTGAGTTCTGCTCTTCAGCCAGTTCCCAATCGACCTCACTATCCAGTCATCCAATCCACACTTCTTAAATTTGGCTCTGAGGATATCATGAGAGACGATGTCAAAAGCCTTGCTGACTTCCCCTTGGTGAATCCATGTTGACTGCTCCTGATAACCCTCTTTTCCTTGACGTATTTTGAGATGGCACCAAGAACAAGCTGTTCCAGGGATGGAGGTGAGGCTGACTTGTCTGTAGTTGCCCAGGTCCTACTTCTTGCCCTTTTTGAAAACTGAAGTGAAATTTACTTTCCTCCAGTCCTCAGGCACCTCTCTTGTTCTCCAGGAAATTTTAAAGTTGATGGAGAGTGGCCTAGCGATGAATTCTGCCAGCAGCCTAAACACTCATGATTGCGTACTGTTGGGGCTGATGGATTTGTAGATGTCTGGTTTACATAATTCTTCTTTAACCCAATCCTCTTCAGCCGAGGCAGTCTTACTTTTTCCTGACTTCCTCTGTGATCTCAGAGGTCTGGGACTCCTGATGACTGGCTTTTAGCAGTAAAGACAGAGGTAAAGAAGACATTCTGTAACTCTGCCTTCTCTGTATCCTCTGTCACCAGGGCACCCACTTCATTCAGTAGTGGGCCCGCATGAAAATGGCCTACTATTCCTCTAAAAACAAAGGAATCTAGCCTCCCTTCTGCCTCCAATGTACTTGAAGAAGCCTTTCTTGCCAGTTTTAATTCTAAGGAGGCCTGAGCTTTCCTTGTTGCATCCCTACATCCTCTGACAGCATTATTGTATTCCTCCCAAGTGGTCAGCCCCTTCTTCCATTTTCTTTAAACTTCCTTCTTCCACTTGAGTTTATCAAGTAGCTTCCAGCTCAGCCATGCAGGTCTCCTGGCTCCATTACTTTATTTTCTACTCATCAGGGTGCTCTGATCTTGAGCTTGGAGGAAATGGTGCTTGAGTATTAACCAACTCTCATGGACCCCCCTACATTGTAGTGCTCTATCCGATGGGATTTCTCCAAGAAATTCCTTGAAGAGGCCAAAGTTAGCCCTTTTGAAGTCCAGGGTTGTGATCCTGCTTGTTGGTCTGTGCCTACTGCACATGATCCTGAACTCCACCATCTCATGGTCACTACAGTCAAGGCTGCCCACCTCCTTCACATCCTCAACCAGTCCCTCCTTGTTTGTCAGTACAAGGTCTAGCAGCACTCCTCTCTCTGTTGGCTCCACCATCAACTGTGTCAAGAAGTTATCATCAGTGCACTGCAGGAGTCTCCTGTACTGTGTGCCTGGCTGTGTAAACTTTCCAGCAAATATCAGGATAATTGAAGTTCCCCATGATAACCAGGGCCTGTGATTGTGAGCTGCCTGTAGAAGGCCTCATCAGCTTCCTGTTAGTTGTGACAAAACCTTTTGACATCTTTAGGCATTAACTAATTTAGACATTAATTGACATTTTCCAAATTTTTCTTAATACATCTGATAGACATACTCTGTATTTCTTGTACCCTTGTACCTCTATGTGTTTAAGCTTCATATTGTGTGTTCCCCTTCTCTGAACTTGTATTTCTTACCTCCCAAACCCATCTCAATTTTGTATCTTCAGCTGAAGGAAGAGGTCTCAGGGCTGTCTAAATTCTTGCAGGAGAATTTACGGCACTGAAGGACAGGCATAGATAATGCTGAAGTTGTAACATACTATTTCATCTGTGGCTAACTCTTTTCCTTACTCCATATAACGTGCAATGTGACTTGACTTTCAATATAGTTTGGCAAAAAAACCAGTTTGCACAGAATACAGGATCTCATCTCCCAGCTAGTCCACTATTTCCGTTCCTATTGCTGTCTGGGGAGAGTTTTTTTCCAGAGAGTGGTACTAAATTCTATATAATACAGAGAAAATCCAGTCAGTATATATAGATGCATAACTGTTTATGAGTTGCCATTTAGCTACCTCTGGTATTTGCATTACCTATAAATCCAAGTCTAAAATGCATCATAGATTATCCTCTCTGGCATGTTACATAATAACTAAAAAAAGTCTTCACTGACAAGGATCTAATTGTATCAATTTCTTTTTGCCTAAGCAATCAAGTCCTAAAATCGTTTCAGCTTTTTGAACTTGTTTGGCTGAAGTATGTGTTGAATTCCTGAATTGTTAAATTCTTTCAATAAAGATTTTAAAACAATAATCTTACATCTTATCTCCTTTAGTTCCAATTGCCTGTGAATTACAAACATCCTTTCTTTAGAATTGTTTTCTGAAGTATCAGTGATGGTTAGCTCCTGAATTTGCTGGAAAGAGACTGTTCAGTGTAATTTTGTTTAAATCATTCATGTATATGCCTGTCCCTAAACCACAACAATGCCATTCATTTCTGCACAAAAAAGTCACATCTCAATATCAAAGCTCTTCTAAAATTATTTTTATTTTCCCACTGAGAATCAGACTTTTAAAAGGAAAACATAAGTAAATTGTCAAGTTCCTATTCAATATCCATTACTTTCACTCTTGTTTTCAAGGCAGCAGGAAGAAGGAAACTCATTTTTATGTCAAGACACCTATAAGTTAATTTTTCTTGTTGTCACTAATACTAGTGTAGAAATTGGAAGCCTGAATAATCCTGAAAAACTGTACAAGAGAAAAATAATTCTTTTAAATAATATTTGTAAAAATACAAGTTGCATGTACAATTTATATACATCGCCTACATTCTTTAAAAACTTGAACCAGAGTTTGTCCATATAGTGGATTTTTCTTTTTATCAACAGACTTTCTTGATAGATTTGAGATAGACAAAAGTTGGTTAATGCTTGGCTTCTTAACAGTACAACTGAGGTGAACAAATATCCCTCTGATTTAAACACATTGAAAGTCAAAAAAATAACAGCTTTTAGAGAGCTGCTAGAAAATCTCAGGCCTTCTAAAATACATACCACAGATGCCTTTTTATTCAGTTTAGAATTGTTATATGTACTATGCAAAAAGACAAGTAAGTGTTGCATTTCTCAAAAGATCCTTTGGTAATGAAAGCAGGGCGTTTTGTTTGTTTATTTATTCTGCCTGTTCAAGCCTGACCATTCTACATGTTGATACTGAAAATAAGTGCAGCCTACTGATACTGTTTCTTTGGATGTCTATCATACTGTTCAAAAACACAAAACGTTTTTTTCCTTGGTTTGTTTTTTTTTTTTCCTTAGGAGATATATTTGACTCTTTGGAAGGAATTTAAATGGCAAATGCAGCTTGCAACTTCTTCACCTCTGTATGTGTTAGTCATGTGTAAAGACTTGTAGGATCTGGGTCAAAAATGTTAAAAATAGGATGAGATTACAAGAGTTTTCTAGATTATTTTTTTTCTAGTTGATGTGTACATAAGAATTCTTGGCAGGAACAGATAGGGAAGATTTCAGTCAGCCAATGTATTTCATGCCCATGGAAATATAAAAGCTATTGTTAAGTACTCCTGGACTCTCAAAAAATATTGGGCTTTGAAATTAGAAATTCTATGTTGCTAGAAATAAAAAGAAAACAAAACTCATTTTGAATCATTAAGAAAAGATTTTTTACAAAAATTTAACCTGTTCCCCAGAGAAAAGAGGCTGTTAATTTAAATGCTCTGTACAGTATTTCTTCAGCTGATTTTTTTATGTTTCACTTTATAGGGATGGTCCTGACCATAATTCACCGCAGCTGGGAGTTTTCAGTGGGAACACAGCTCTAGAAACAGCTTACAGTTCCACCAATCAAGTTCTCCTCAAATTTCACAGTGATTTTTCAACAGGAGGATTCTTTGTCCTCAATTTTCATGGTCAGTTTCCTTTATATCATTACATCTAATTGCCCAATCAATTAGTGAATTTTAAAAATATTTCTTAACTTTTTTATTTACTGCATGATCTTAAATAATTTTACTTTGATTCATGGGTTTGCTGGGGTTTTTTTTACACAGCAATACAAGTTAGTTTTTAAAATCACATGTTGAAAAAATCTTAAGAACATTCATTTGTGTCTTTGAATACACTAATGTTGTATCTTAAATGTTAAGATATCTAAAATGAGCTTTTACTTTTTAAATTATTTTGACACATTTATTAGTTAAGTTACTTTTAACCTTCTATAATAGAATTCTTCACCAGCTGGCTAATCCTAGCACTCATGGTCAGAAGTGTTGATGGGATGGTGTGGGAGGGTTGAACAACAGCTTTAAGTCTGATATCCAGCAAAATACTTCGTTCAAAGTTACGGTCAGGGCTATAGGACGTGCAAATTAGACATCTAACTCAGAAGTGAAATGCTGAATTCTAGTTCTAGTTGTAATTTTGACTAATCCATCCAAATTGTGTCTATAAATGGAAGATTGTTATCCTTCTGGATTGCAAGTCAGAAAGACAGAGTGAATTCGTTCACAAGGACAGAAGGAAATTCCACAGAGAGTACCTCTCTATTTACATTGGGAAGTCTTTACAAAACCAGTACTCAAGATTTGAAATGGTCTTCTTGTCTGTAGTTTTCTCCTAAAAGAAGGGCATGATGCGTAGTAACCTAAAGCACTTATCTGAGAAGCAAAAACTAGAGTACCTGGCTTTAGTCATCATTCAGGGAACATACAGCTGTCATGTAACAAGATAGTGCCTGAGAAGCAGACTATAGAGAATGTTCAATGAGAGCATTTTCCAGCCTTAAGTTGAAGGTACATAAAAATGTAGTCTGTATTTCAAGGTTGATGACTTCAGATGATGAAAAGGCAAGATGCATACTCTATCACAGTACATAGTACTTTAGCCTAGCAAGGGAAAAAATAATGAATCTGCTTCTTTTTATCTGCACAGTTTCTTTATTTTGCATAATAATATTTTTCATAATGTCCCATGCATGGAAATCATGTACAATATGATCAGTGTCCATGCTTTTAATTCAAAGCAGTGACATGGACCACTGCTGACAAAACCCTGCAAACTGGGCTTCTTGGAGACTAAGTTGAAGGGATCCCATGATCCCATTTTTCTAGCCCACAGACTCCGGGAGAAAGATATCTTGGTTCAGTGAAGTCAAGGGCCTTACTGAACATGCATATAAATACAGTTTTAAGTTCCTGGAAAATGTTATTGCTGGAAACTTGTTTAGTGTCTAGGGAGGGAGCTGGGGTCGTTCAGTCTGGAGAAGAGAAGGCTGCAGGGAGATCTTACTGCAGTCTTCCATACGTAAGGGAAGCCTATGAGAAGGATAAGGACAATCTTTTTTAGCAAAGCCTGTTGTGACAGAGCAAGGAGTAATGGTTTTAAACTACGAGAGGGTAGATTTAGACTGCATATAAGAAAGAAATTTTTTACAATGAAGGTCTTGTACCACTGAAACAGCTTGTCCAGAGAGGTAGTAGCGGCCTCATCCCTGGAAACATTCCAGGTCAGGTTGAATGGGGCTCTAAGCAACCTGATGTAGTTGAGGATGTCCCTGCTCACTGCAGGGGCATTGGACTAGATGACCTATAAAGGTCCCTTCCAACCCAAAGCATTCTGTGCTTCTATGATTCATAGATACTTGCTGTTACAAGTGTCTGAGGAGATTTAAAAACTTTTTCTGTTCTCCAGAAAAGCTCATGATGTTAGGTATATATAATAATAATAAAGTGTATGTGTTTATAAATACGTGTATATATATCACCATACAGATACACAGGTAAACAAATACGGTTTCTCTTCCCTGTTCTTGGAAACTTTCTATGTATTAAATAAACTGAAACTCTCCATGAATGGAAAACTCTCCATGGACTTTTTTCCTCCTTGTACAATTGCATTGCAATGGTGAGTTATAGAAGCTTTTGTGGCAGAAAAGGGCTGATTCCCAATATTTTGTATTTCCATAACATAACTTCTCAAAAACAGCAAATCAATAGGACTATCAAGTTAGAGGAGAATTTGTATTCTTGACTGTGACTTAGTTCCATTAAGAGGAGAGTTTTCTATAGTATGTGCACTCTGACCACAATCATAAATCTCTGTTTTGCATTTTTTAACCCAGACATGGCTTCTTCAACTGTTGTAGACACTCTATTTTAGAAACATGTCAGTCATTTTACTGGTTGCCTTCCTAATGAGACTGCTCACAATTTAATGAAACAGGTTTAAAGAGTATAGAAGAGACTTTGTTTTAAAGGCAATTCTAAGTAATCCAGGATTAATAAGCACTATCACATGATGCAAAGGCAGCCACGTAAAACAGCAGCCTTGTAGCTGCAATAATCTCCTCATAAACATCACAACTGCATCCAATCCTACAATGAATCTATAACTATCTAGGCAGTGTAGTATACTACATATACAGATAAAAAATATTTTTTTTTTAGATAATATGTAATGTCATGACATTTAACTTGGAAAATGTGTTAAATGAGAGACCATGAAGTTCAGTGCAGCCTTTGTAATTTGGGAAGTGTGAGTAGGACATTGATTTTCTGTAAAAAAATTCTTAAGACACCACTAGTAAATCTTTTTATACTTGAATTTACAGCTTTTCAGCTGAAGAAATGCCAGCCTCCACCCATAGTTCCACATGCAGATTTGTTTACAGAGGATGATGACTTTGAAATAGGTAAAAAATGGTATCTCCTTTTCTTTCCTATGTTTTCACTTGAATTCTAATTAAAATAAATTTAATATGTTTCATCTTTCACTTGAGATTTTGGTATACTTCTCTTTGAGGTTTTGGGGTTTTTTGCATTTAACTTTTTTGTCAATAACTTTTTCAGGAGATTTTGCGAAGTACAAGTGCCATCCTGGTTTCACCCTTGTTGGACAAGATATATTAACTTGCAAACTGAATGCACAGTTGCAGTTTGAAGGATCATCTCCAATTTGTGAAGGTAAATATGTGCTTACATGGTCTGCATATCATTAATATGAATCCCTTTTTATCTTCCTATACATTAAGCATCAGGTTTTTGACACTCCATTATCATTACTCTTTCAAAGTAAAGTTTCTATTTATTTATTCAATATCTAAGAAATGCACACATTTTCAAATCGGTCTCTACAGTTTTTTCACAGGCATAAAATTCTTTAGAATTAAAAGACAAGCAGCTTAAACTAGTTAACTATACCGTTAGTGAAACACCTATTTCTAAAATTAATTTAAATTATTTAACATTGTTTCATATCAAACCAAAGATTTATTTTCACCCCTGAAGAGTTTTAAAAAGATGTATTTAAATTAAGCTTTCAAAAGAAAATAAATTATTCTCTCTGCTTTCACAGATACAGTGATATTGTATGACAGTGTCACATGAAAAATTTATTCTAAAATAATATGTGGTAAATTTGAATTCATGGAAGCACTGAAAATTTTTCAACTATTCATACATACTGTGTTTATAATTACAGTATTTCAAACAAGGAATTTGAAATTTAATATGAATAATGTTTAGATATGCATTCTTACACAATTTTCTCATCTTCATGAAAAACAAGTATAGCTTGGAGATTTGTACTCAATCCTCCAAATTATGCTTTCCAACAGATGCTGTTAGCTATTTTTTCTTTTGTTTGGTTTAGGTGTTAAATAGTGGGCAGCAAAAAGATTTTGAAATGTTGAAAAAGTGATCAAGAAAGTATCTGTAGTATTTTGACCTGAAGTACCTCAAACTTCTGGGGGAAAAAGAGTTACTGATTAGATGCTATCATTGAACTTTTAAGGAAGTCAAAAAGTGATCATAAGTTCTCATATTCATAACATACTAATCAGGATTAGTTTTGATCTATAATATGTAATTGTGGATGGAGCATCTTCCATATCATGAGGTAACAACATCCATATGCACAACAGGTAACACTGGAACCACAGCAATTATTGTGACACTTTATTAATAGCTGTATCTGTACCTTCCTTGCTGTTACCCTGGTTCCCCATTTCCATGATTTAAAAAAAAAAAATAAAGGATTCATAGTACAAGCAGTAAAAGTTTCTTGATGCAACAATACATTTGATGCATGTATAAGTAATTCATCTCTATGAGAACCCATGCCTGAGTAAATTTTTACTTCTCCCCTTTCTTCACTTGTGCATACAAGAATCTGGGATTTGTCATAGATTGAGAGACAAAGACTCCATGTTTGGGGTGAAAAAGATTCAGTATTCATTTCAGGACCCTCACCATAAAATATGCAAAATTAATGAGAAAATTGTGTATTTCTTTATATTTCTTGATCAGATACCTCCATACTTATTGATGTTTGGTTGTTTCCAATTAGTGTATTTTAATAAGATGATTGTACTGCAAATCAAGCTTACAATTATAAGTTAATAGTAACAACAGTAACTTAACTCTTGACTGTGTCAATTAGAATGTAAATAAAAAATGAAAGCCTAAAATAAACCAAACAGTTATTGTAAAAACTACAGAGATATTAGTAGCTTCTGATAATGACTAGCCATCTGTTAAGCACAGGGGGAGTACTTTATCTCCAACAGTTCTTGCAGATGTTGTGGAAAGTAGTCGCTTTCTCTGATAGTAGCAGCCCTTGTTTCTTTGCAGTCATTTGAGACATTGAAGTGAATACTGGCAGCTCTGTACTTCCATCACAGACTTTGTAGATTTTGTCATTTTCTTCATGTATTGGTTTTCTGTGAGGGGGGTTTTGGTTGTGTCTTTGGTAACGGGGGAAGGGCTATGGAGATGGCCCTTTAAGAAGCTACCTGAAAAGCTCGCCCTTTGCCTTTGTCAGACCTACCTTTGACCAGGGCCAAAGCCAGTCAGCACCCCTGTGAATTCATGTATTTAAGGGGGGTGCAGGGCATGCCTCACTCTCTCTCTGGCACCAGCCCTGACCAGCGTGGCCCCAGGGATGGGTGGCACGGCCCCAGCCTTGCCCAGCTGGGCTTGGCCAGCCCCGACCACAATTTAAGCTTAAACCTCGCTGCAGTTTAATCCCGAAAAAAAGAGAGAGCGAGACGGGATTTTCATAACCATCAGAGGAGACCTGCAGTGGAGAAAAGGAGTGGGGCCCAAGGAGAACAACTTCGAAGAACACCAAGGTCGATTTGAAGGAAAGAAAAAGAGAGGGAGGAGGAGGAGGATGCAGAACCCAGGTTTCCACGTTGCAACCTGTGGCAAGAGCTGGGTTGACTGGTTGTGTGTGAGGGAACTGTGACCATGGGCAGACCCAGATTTGGAGTTTTGTGGACTTTGGCTGAAGCAGTTTTGTGTGTGAAGGAAGCTGCAGCTGTGGGCAGACCCATATTGGACTTTTGAGGACTTTTTTCCCCTATGGAAAGGGAGCTACGTGGAAGCAGAGAGAGACGCTGAGGTGTGGTTTTTTTTTTCCCCTACTCTTTGAGAAGCACGTGGCGGGAGGACCAACCGCAAACCCCCACTCCCATCCCCCTGCACCTCAAGGCAAAGGGGAAGAGGGAAGACGAAGGAATCGGGGACAAAAGCTGAGCCCAGGAAGAAGGGAGGGGTGGGTGGAAGGTGTTTTGATTTTAAGATCTGGTTGTATCTCCCACTGTTCTACTCTGATGTTGGTAACAAATTAAAATTGTTTTGTTTTTTTTATTCCTTATGATGAGTCTGTCTTTTGCCTGTGACCTGTTTAAGTGGTGAGAAGCCCTCCCAGTCCTTATTTTGACTAGCCCTTTTATGGGGCATCGTGGTTCTCAGTTATGCACTGGGCCGAAACCACGACACTTTCCTTCCTTGTATTTGTTATTAATTGTTTTTCAAAACTACCCTATATATGAAAGTTACTAGAATTTTACTCTTTTATATGTTGGTTTTTATTGATTATTAGGAACATCTTTACTACATAAGTCTTTTTCATGAAAATAATTAAACGACACAATTCCAGTCAAGAAGTAGATTACCACCTATAAATGTCTTTCAGATATGAGTATCATTTTTTACTTGAATTTTCTGCCCTAAGAATATGCTAAGGGAGACCTCACAAGACACTGTTTTTGTCTCAGTACCACAGAAGACTGTTGCATATCTTTCACCCTTTGCATTACTATTTGTGCTGATTTGCATTAGAGAGGTGCGTGTTTTCCACGTAAACAGTATTTCTTCTTACTAGTAAAGTTTTGAAGTCCACTAAGAGAATACAATAGAATATATGGAGGAAATAATCCCTCCAGCAATCCTGCAGTGATCTGTTTCTTATGTTGAGTGCATGTGATTATTTGTTCAAATAAAATCCCTGGCCTTTAAGCTGTTGATTTTTAATATTAACCCACCAAAGAAATGTTCTTAATTACAAAGCAATATCATAATATTCCTCAATTATGAGAGAAGGGCATGAAGAAGCATCTGCAAAAGGCTCATTTTCCTCTGTTGTAAACAAATTTCAGGTCCCTTCTTAAGAATCAGCTGTGAGGAATGAAGAAGGTAGCAGTAGTCTTTCACTGTTATTGATAACTTTTACCTGGTTTTGAAAAAAATGATGGAACTTGTTGATATTTTTTCAATCTTAGCAAGCAATCTATGTCCTTGCCTTTTTTGTTCTGCTTCTCTTTTTGTCTCTAGTGTCGTTTATAAGAAAAAATAGATGATCTAAGAGCAAAGCAGGTGAAAGAAAAAGGCAGAAAAAGCAATTGCTGTCGGTTTCTTCTCTTTTTTTTTTTTCCCTCCCTGCAATTTTCTAGTCCTGTCTCTTTTTCTTTTTGCAGACCATTCTTACTATGTCCAATTCTCATCTGGAGCATATTCAGAGGTTACTGAGATGCTCACAGCCAAGGTGTCTGTGCTTCCTTGAGTGTGATTGTCTTTCTTCCTATTCTATGACATCTCTTTTTCCCAAAGGAAACTAGCAATTTTCACTTCTCTGGATTACTGACTTTCCTCTATTTTTCATTGCATTTCCTTCCCTGGCTCCATTCCTTCCATATACTACCAGTGAGTTTTTTGAGTTAGTGAAGAGTATCTCAACACTTCATGGTAATGTTCTGTGGATCATTGCAAAATGATCTCAGGTTTTTCAAACTGCAATTTTGAATCTCATTATTAATTGAAAATCCTCTATCCCAGATTTTATATTCTTTGTATACTGCAATAAGTGAACCCAAGTTTGTGCAGCCTGATCTTAAGAAGATATTATAGTGCACCGCTTTGGAAATGATACATGTGGTAACTTAGCTGAAAGGGCCCCCACATAAAGGGCTGTGATAATAACCTTTTAGATTTAGCCAACTCTAAAGTTTTCTGCCCTGAGCGAAAATTGTCGAGGATTCTTACTGCTTTATATACCATTACCCCATAGGCCTTCTCTCTCTTAGGACGTCTTCTATGAAAAAGAGCTTAACCTCTTAGAGATACTGTCTGCTACACCCACTGCTGTCAAATGACAGCAGAAAGGGACACATGCCAAGGAAAACTTAACTGCTTGCCATTTTTTCCTCAGCCTTCACCTTGTTCTCCCTGCTTGATTATATATTCTCACTTGCATATTACATCCTTCCTTTTCATAGGCAGACATTTTTCTCTCTGATCAAATAATTTTTTTTAGCTAAACAAGATGAAAGGGAGGAGAGGAAGAAAGGGTTTAAAAAAGAATCTAGTATTTCTTCCTGCATTTGCTGGCATGATAATGCTACGTACTGTCCAGTCTGTTAGAGTACACTGAAGAAGAAAAAGTTATGACAAAAATGAGTAATAAGTATATTTTACTTTTTCATGCTTTTCCCCCTTCTTAAATCCCTAAATAACCAGAGTGCCTTTTAGATAAGTGATATATAATTTATGCTATGGTATAAAAAAAAAATCACAACTGAAGAAAAATCACCCTGAATTTTGTGCTGAAGGCTCAACCTATAAGTCAGATCAAGGCGAGTCTTGGAACTGTCAGAAAAGAACTATTTTGATTTTTATTTTCTTTCTTTCCTAAACTTTGGTGCCATTAACAAATTAGTAGTCCTCGGAAAATGAGTTTGTAAGTTAAGTTTGAAACTCATATCTGTCTCACTTAATCTATCATTATTTAAAATATTCCAAAGAATGAAGCTTTGTATTGTCCAACTCGGGCACGTACACTTTCTCTTACCTTCCACATGCAAGTCTGGAAAACTGTATCTTTGTTAGAAAAAGGACACAAATAAGCCAGTTTCTCAAAGATAAAGGTCTATGCACTATATAGGAAAGTGATGGTTAATTTTTATGTGAGTTAATTGATAAAATTCCTATTTTGTTTGCATTGTTGCTTCTGGTGGAGGGTTCAGATTTGTCCCCAGTCTATGGAACGGAAGGTAAAGACTGGACATCTTTTATACAATATAATTTCCCTCTCTACCATTATGCCTAATTTCTCTGAGAGGACAATTAAAGATGAAGTCCTGACATTTTTTTGCAGAATGTACAGCATAATTCTTGGCTACAGCTGAACTAAAATTTCACCTCCAAGTTTGTAAAAGGCCAACTAAGGGAAATGGTTGAGTTTTTAATGTTTGTTTCTGATAGCTGCGTGTGTTTCTCCCCTGTAACATATTTTTTCCTCTGATCATTTTTCCTCTGTTGTTTTGTTTTTCACTTTTCCTATAATGTTTAATTTATGCAAATACTTGGGTACTGTTTACAGGAGTGCATTTCTGTCAAGATATATTTATGAATCTTACACACAAAAAAACATTCTTAAAATGAACGTGTATTTTGAAACTTTGGACAAAATGTATCAGAATTCAACAGAAAACAGACATTAAAATTTACAGCATTTTTGTATAGTATACTTCTTGTCATATACAGAGATCATAAACACCTATGAGTACCAGATAAAACTGTTTGTAAAATGTTATTAGTTCAGGATTTAATAGCAGGGGATGTGGTTACTGAGAATATCTTACTTGGATGGCTTGGAGTAAATAAACCTTTTGTCTGCACAACATGTGTGTTTCCAAATGTTTTGATGTGTCTAGAAGCTCCAATATGTTTTCATATTCATGTAACAAATTTCATTCTTAAAGATGTATGCATTTTTTAAAGAACTCAAATAGAAGCCAGCTAAGGAGTTTCCAAATAAAAAGTTTTACCAGTACTTTTACCCCACCTGTGTGAATGATCACAGCAGCTTATGTGAATACTTTTGTCTGTAAACCCTTTGGACTGTGATGTATTTCCTGATGAATGTTTTACTATAATTAGTATCCTGTTTCATAAATGCAGGGTTTATAAAGGTGGTCCTGCTTCTGTTTGTGTTTAAGGGAACTTTATTGTTCCTTCCATCTAGAATACAATTTTAACATGTTTTCATTTGGAATCTGATACTGAAGCATACATAACTCTGAAAAAATAATACTCTTTTTTTCATGGAAAGGAGACACTTTATTTCATTGCTCTTCTTGTTGTTGTTCTTGTTGTGTCCTTCTTAGCACAATGTCCAGCAAATGAAATCCGTACAGAATCATCAGGAGTGATCCTTAGTCCAGGTTACCCAGGCACCTATCCCAACTCTCAGACCTGTTCTTGGACTATAAAGGTTGATCCAGGATACAACATCTCCATCTTCGTAGAAATGTTTCAAAGTGAAAAGCAGTTTGATGAGCTGGAGGTATTTGATGGTAAGAGAGATTTAAATTCTATCAACTACAGAAGAAAAAATATTGGGTCAAATGGGGCTTCATTTCCCATTGTTCATTTCATAATGTTATATCTGATACTGAAAATATAGTCCAGTGCTACTTTTGCCTTAAGTGTAAATCTCATAGCCAATGAATGCTTTTATAGATGTATTCAAGACAAAGTAGCTTTTAAATTTTCTTACATATAATTAGAGGACAAGCAGTATCAGCGGCAGCATTCATATGTAAGTCATAGAGTTTTCTGTTTCCTGGGAAATGTCTGGAGATGTCTGAAAGGAGAAGTTAACTTGTTTTGTAATGGATCATTTCTGGTGACGAAATATTTTTGGAGTATAATTACCTTTGTCCAATTTAATAAAATTACTTGAATCTAAGTACTCAAATTTGAGTTCAAACACCCAGTCTACTTTCTCCGTACAATAGTTTAACCAGTGCTATACCATGTTTGAATGTATCCCATAAAAGATTTTAACCATCTGTTTTGGGACAAAGAGTAGAGAAATTACAAAAACTCAATTTCTAGAGTATTACTCATAGCAGCAACCTCTCAAAGGGCCCTGTTTAAGTAATAAGCTATTCTGATTTTCTACTGAATTCTGAGCTTACTATCACTTGTTCTGTTCTCATAGATTGATGAGAATAACTTGTCCTTGATTGTTCTTAAATATATTTTTATACATTGTGAGAGCATTATCATGTCTTCCCTCATTAGCAAAGAATATATGATAACTATGATAGAACTGATTAATATTCACTATCGGAGTTTCATAACATGAAAAATATGAAAATGTCATATTTTTGAGATTTCTTTCTCTAAATATTTTTCTTAACTAGTAAATTTTTAATGTCTAAGATTATTAAAGTACTTTCAATTTTTTATATCGGCATTCTGAAAAAAACAGTGTTTTTTATTCTTTTAAAAAATATCAGTTCATTAGCATTTTTTTTCCTTTAAAATACATGTGCCTTGTCAGGTTAGTGGAGAAAATAGTCTGAAAAAATCTGTTAAAACTGTTTTTTCCTCCACTCTATTTTGTATGTAACATCGAGAAAGTATGTAATGTGCTTGAAACTTTTCTAGTGGTCTCATCACTTTGTTTTGTTTTGAAAAATTCTGTTGACACTGCTTGATTTTCCTGATTAAGATTTTTGTTTCCTTTCTTATACATTTAAATTTGATGAAATCAGATTATCAATAATAGATCTCAGAGAGAATTATCATAGATACAACATTTTTATGCATTGCATTTTCATGACATGAAATCACATTCTTACAAATTCATCTGTAGTGCAGCTCTACTGAAGTCACTTTTTCTACCACCTACCAGCAAACTTAAATGAGAAAGATAATGGCATATTTATAACCTCTCAATACAGTACCATGTAGAGATTCTCGAGCTAGCTCTCAACAAGTTGATATTTAAATATGGCCCATTGCAGTGCCTTGCAGAGATACTTGCTCGTGTCCCTGTGGCCACATTAGCAATGTGTCTTGCTAGGCTAATTAGTTCTACATCTCAGCATGATGAGTTTGCTGGGGCAGAAGGTAATGCTGATGTGGCTATACTGTTCCCAGCGATGGATAGAACTCAGACTAACTCGTTCAGAGCTAACTTAGGTATTTTGCTGTATTTTGCAATAAATATGTGTCATATCCTGGGACCTTGTGTGGTCTAAAACAGCATACATTTATTTAAGTTAGTAGAATTTCACTCATCTATCTACATCAGGTAAGGATGTGTCACCAAACTTAAAGCAGAAACTATATAAAAACAACTTCTAGGAAAATAGTATTTGCTAAAGCACAGGTCTCTAATTACTTTATAGGGCACTTTCAGAATGCAAACCATAATGACTGCATTGTAAATTATGGTGCTTCAGCAGCTGGATGATGATCAGTATAGGCATCCAGTCAATGAGGCCACTCTGATCATCTGGGAGCAATCAGCCCATTAGCCATTCCCACTTATCAGTCAGACCCTTAGGAGATCTCGTTTGTATTCTAAATCAGAGGAACTGTAAATGTACCATGAATATAATTATTAAAGGTTTTTGAACCTCAAAACACCATATTCAGGTTACTTACACTCAATGCATTCATTTAATACAGCAAATATTAATTGATATTTTTCATCCCTCAAATAAACCAACAAAATTCTATCACTGAAAATAGATGGAAATATCAACTTTTACCTGATATTCAGGCTTCGTATGACAAGTTAGTACACTAAAAGTTGTGTATTTACTTCCTTACATAGACAAACTCTGAAATAGTAATTAAAAAATCAGACTCAAGAACACCTAAGTCATGCTACTGACTTTCCTGAACATCATCTGAAGAGCTCCCTGCTAAGTGAGGTAAAGAAACTGAAACTCAACTTTAGGAAAAACAAAGCAAACTGAAATATGTTGAATAATTCCTCTCATCTCCAAATAGCTAGAAACTGCAGTGTGGCATGAGGTGCTGCACATTAATTCATGATCATTAATAAGGAAAGATTCTCACTTCTTTGTATATAGTAGATCTTTATTTGTAATTGTACTCTTTTACTGCCTTTATTGGAGACTTTTGAAAGTACATATACATTCTAAACTAGCAAGTAAAGTGTATAAGCAGGTTTTACAAAACCCAGGATGAGGCGTAGAGAAACTAAATGAACTGTCATGTTCTAAATAGTTTTTTCAAGCAAAATTTGGAATTGACCTCAGCATTCCTCATCATTTATCCTACACTATATTTATCAAACACTAACTCTATGAGATGAAAACCAAACAAGCCACAAAGCATTTTGATAAGGGCATGTTGGGCAACCTGTACCTAAAGCCATGCTTATTTGTTCTAATTTTGTATATGTATTTAGAATTTATTTAGTAATACTTATTTACTCATGGTATTATTATGGTGACGAACTGCAGTTTTTAAAAACTGGGAGGTTGTCTTAATCATTATGGTTTGCTGTAGCTTCTAAAGCCTCCCCTCTGTACGTGAAATGTCCTGATCAAAAATTATGCTTGTTTTTTTAATTGGACTGGAAGGAGAGAATGCTGACAATTGTATTCAATGTTTAGGTGTCATTTGATTCAGTTTTATTTTTGTGTTTTTGTGCAATATAAGAATTGCTGATCAGGCTGCAGCTGCTCGAACTCAGCAAAAATGAATGAAGCAGTCTTTTTATTTGAAATAGCTGCTGTGGCCAAGACAATACTGGTTGAACATGGCTTTCCTAAACTTGAAAAACATGGAGCAAAAGGCATAGTAAGCATATGAAAGGGAGGAGTTCAGCTGGAGAAAGCATAACCTTAATATGGAGAAAGAAGATGCCATTTAATGTTTTGGAAAGCTTCAGTTGGAGATTGGTTTCATATATAGGGTTTTTTTCCTATTGCATATATGATGTTTTATTATATAGTTAGTCTCCAAATCATTATTTGCACTAAAGGGGTTTATTGTGATGAAGATACTGGTTTAGTGCCAGGATAGATTTTTTCAGCATCTTGTATTTACCATAAGTGTATATTTTTTTAAACTAAAATGATACTGTAATAAACACACTGTCTTTTAACAGAACTAAGTCCTAATTATGTATTGTAAATTCATAGCGTTGTACATATGTGTATTCCACACTGAAATGGTGATGATCTTATATGTGACAGACCATTCTTTAGCTAATTTGTTCCCTATACACAAGCTGTACAACATTAAAGAGTGTATAGATTTGCTACCAATCACTAGTTGGAAAAGAGCTTAAATAGATAGTATATATAAAAGGGCAGGAAGCAGAAGCATAACTTCATTCAAAGTAATTGTCCCAAGTATAAATTAACTAAAGAAAAAAAAAACCACTATGTTTTCAGTGTTTATGGCAAAAACATTCATTGTTTTATATTTCAGTTTGTTTTTACTGAGATTTTTTTATTGTATTCTCTAGTGAAAACCTAAAACTGTGTGGATAGTTTAAATAGAGATATGTTAATTATTTCACTGGCAACAATGTGTCGTGTTCTTTCCTATTCTTTCCTTGGCTAAGCCTAAATATGGAAAGGATTACTTAAACTGGTTGCACTTTGAAACTTCAATAGTTTTGTTTATTCATCTCTGAAGGTTCCTCTGGGCAAAGCCCTTTATTGGTTGCTTTAAGTGGAAATCATAGTGGACAAATGAACTTTACAAGCAGACTCAATCAGCTGTATCTTCGCTGGTCAACTGATCATGCAACCAGCAAGAAAGGATTCAAGATCCGATACTCGGGTAACTATTAATGATATCCATTAAATTACACTTTGTGGTTACATATTTACTATCTTGCTATCTAGCTAGCATTGAATTTGAAGTTGCAATATAATATCTGTTTCTCTGAAGGTGATTTGTTATAATGTACATTTTAAGGATGTGTAATCATTGCAAGCTCAAGGTAAGCACAGGATTTGGACTCTCTTTTCCCAGTTTGTCAAAGATCTCCAGCTTAATACTTCTTCAGTGAAGATTTTTCTCTGCAACCTACTGTATTGTCTTACCAGAGGTGGAGCAAGGCTTATGAAATGTAGTGAATAGCCCTTAGATTTACACAGAAGAACTCAAAAGTAAGAATTTTTGATCCTGAAATTGTATGCAGTGCTCCACCTGCAATTCACAAAAAAGTTATTAGGTTTATAATTTCCTCAAGTTGCAGATCACAACTCTTATAGCTATGATCTTTTTCATGTACAAATAAATGGAAAACCACAGGAGGCAAAAAACTTCCACTTCTTCAATAGGCTGCATGTAAATCTCGTGTGGTAACATGAAAGTATGTAAATAGCCTATCTAAATATTGTTAAACATTGTGTCCCTTATTAAGAAAAAAAAATCAGTTAGCTGGATTATAGTCCAGCTATATTAATATCAATTATACTGGATTACACTCTATGTGTAGACAGACTGTCCCTTGCTCAGTTTGCAGCCTATTTAAGATGTTTCCACACATACATTTGCAGACACATTGCTCCTGTAAGGCTTGGATTAGGGATAATTTACATGATGTATATAGTGAGAGTGAGAGAAAGAGGTGATAACTACTGTCTGTTGTTAACATTTGCTTTTTCTGTGTTTGGAATTGATTAGCAATGTAAAGGTTGTGTGTGTTAATTTTGGTGGCTAATAACTGTCAATATAAATTAAGCAGAGAAAGGAATACTAAGAATATTTTAGGAGAATGTTTTATTGAGCACTAGGTATCTCCAATTTAGTCATGCTAATTGCCATTTAGGGAGCTGATTTTCACAGAGCTCACTCTTTGCCTGCACCATCCATGCACTGGCTGTCTAACCCTGGGAAAATTTATCTTGTTACTCAAACAGATCTGGGCTGAGCTCAGAGCATAATAATGATCATTGTTTTGGGGACTTAAGAACTATAAGCAGTCAGGAAAAAAAACCACAACCTAGTTAGTAAAAGCATGATCTCTACCCTGCAAGCAGTCTTTGGAGCGTAACTACTGACAAACGGAAACTAAGGGATAAGGGAAAAGGAAATTGTTTTCAAACATACTGGAGATACATGTAGTTTTTCATAAGGAAAAGGCAATTGCAGGACCTAATAGCTGGCTTGAGAGTGTGGCAGAAAGAATGAAAAGAATCTGTCATGTCACACCCTCAGATGTGTAACAGTGAAGAGAACAGGCTAATGAATTTTAAGTGAGGAACTATTATCAGTGTTACAAGAATAAAGTTCATGTAAAAGATTCATTTTGTAAGTATCAGATTATTGAAGAAACTTATTTTTGAGGAATGAGAAATTATTTTACACCTTTGCATGTACACAAAATGTTTTTTTCAGTAGTGAAGAAGTGGTCTGTCTAATTGATAGTTTCAATTCATCAATTATGGCACTAGCCACAACTAATAATAAAACTGGGGGACTGGAGAGAGAGATACATTATCCTTATTGCTATGTTGTGGGAACAAACAACTGTTTTACTTTTTCCGCTTCACTAACAGTCAGTGCCTGCATTTTTCTCTAAACATCTTTACATTTTACATGAGATTCAATGGAAATAATCAACATGAAAGAAGAGTAACAGTTAGTGGCAGCATAAACAATTGGATTTGAATCTTAATGAGAGAAAGCAACATCATGAAAGTAGCAAAAATACAAGATCCTAAAAAGGCTATTGATACCCTGGCAGCTGTGACTGAGCCAGTAGGCTTCCTCATAAAGAAGACCCTGTTGAAATTAATTACTGCCCTCCCACAACCCTCCCATTCTTCTCCAGCTATGCCTGTGCAAAAATTTCTGCAAATTGTATTTTTGTTATAACTAGATTTCATTTGTAGATACAAATTTTCTTCACTTTTAAAAAGTGCTAGAATCTTTCACAGGAATGCTTAAATATTGCCTTTAGCACACAAGCTTACTTATATAAGCTATTTTTCTAATGTTACTTGTATAGATTTTTGTGAAAGAAGCTGTAACATTACAGCAGAGGGGTATTCTTTTAAGGACTTTGAATATTACAGAGGCACTAGCATACTTTAAATAATGAATTTCTTAACTGCACTATACCAAGATATCAAATTATCTCTTTCTGAATCTCATTAGTATCTATATAGTATAGTGAAACTAGGAGGGGATTAATGAGTTAAAATTTCCTGCAGCTCTAGGGAAGTGATCCCTTTTTTCTTTGAAAGCTGTGTAGTATGGTAAAACCACTAAAATGGATGCCAAAAGTATAAAGAAAAGGTGTTGTGTGCTGATATTTTTTATTTTTTTTTAATGCTTGTTTGGTTTTTTGTAGTGCTTGAATTTGACTTCCTGGTGCAGCTGGGTTCCATGAAAATTATTGAGTTTATTACAAATGAGGAAGATCTGTGTTTGCAGAAAGTGGAACTTGCTGAGCGTAGGATAGGAAATTCACTCTGTAGGAGATGAAATCTTGAAATTGCTTTGAAAGATACCTGCAGAATCTGCTTCTTGGCTTTGTTTTCCCTCGATAATTTATGAACCTGCATGCACATTCCTAACTAAGCAAGCTGACATAAAAGCATAAGAAAGAACAGGTGGATAATTTTTCCATAACTAGTGGTGAAAGGAATGAAAGTACACTAGACTACTCAGCAGATCCTCTAGAAGTGTGTTGATTAGGGAAGAACAGTACTTAGCTTGCTACTTTGCAAGTTTACCTTACCTCTCTAACAATTACAGGCTTTTGTTTAACTTTTTGATACTCATTCAAGAGTAAATAAGTGGTAACTTGACTAATTTCTAACTGACTGCCAGTAGGACTGTAGATACATACATATTAAAACCTCCACAATGTATCTTTATTTTACCTTTATTCTGCTCTTGTAACCTCATGTGTTGCTGCAAGAAGATTAATTCTTCACCATTTGTGTCATCTTGGTTTTAAGCTTTGCCTGTGAAACAACTGTTTTTATTTCCTCTCTATTTCAAGTTAAAAGAAAAGGCTATTTATTAGTTTGGTTTTGTCTTTACATTTTCCCCATAGCTGGTTAAAAGTGACAAGGGAATTGCATGAAGAGGTTAATCAGACTTTTTATAATTGTTTCTTCTCTGGTTCCTAAGCTTTTAGTTAGTGATTTAATGTAGTAAATACAGCAGAAAAGTCATACAATGGAGGTTTATATGGTACTTTGAATAAAGTGCAATATAAACAGGATCATTTATAAAGTTTGAACCATCAGTAAGAACATCTATACTATAAATACCAGGTTATTTAGTCAGCTATTCAATTTTTGAAGAGGAAAACATTCACAATTATATCACTAAAGAGGGAATAGGCCATTGAAATTTAAATTAGAAAAATGTCATATTATTCACTGTAAGATTTACAAAATCATCCGGGGAGTTTGGACATCCAGTTTCAAAGAATTTTAGTTTGGAATTGGGAATTATTTAATTGAACTTTCTGTAGAGTACCTCAAACGGCTTTGAAAAATCTCAGCAAAAACATTAAAAATATTCTAGCTCTTAAGAAAATATGCTTTGTGAAAGGAAGAATATGATCCTGCAAATGCAAAATCAGTGTTTATTTGAGCTCTTGTCCACACATCAGTTAACCAGTGATGTGTGATTTAGCCAGGCAGTTACTACCCTCTTGGTCTTCAGTTGCAAGTGACAAATGGACATTGTGATTCTAAGTGAGCTGAAAATGTTCTCTGTGTTGCTTTGCAAAAAACACTGGTGTTTAAGAGGCCTCGAAAGAATATGGATGCTATGTCACTTGGATAAGTAAATTAAATCTGTAAATGTAAAGCTACTTCAGGTCACTGGAATGGCTTCATAGAAATTTATCACATTTTGTGGTGAAACATTGTCATTCCTCGATGAGAACAGTCCTGTGTCATTGCATCTATATCAGCTTAGCCTCATTAAGTTCTAGGACAGATCCCCTCTCAGAAACTGGAAGGGAGAGAAACAGCATTTTATCCCAGTGGTCTTTGATATAAGGCTGCAATATTTTATGAACACTATAGAGATTCCTGCTTAAGCCCCGAATTTTCACTCAGCTGACAGCAGCTGTACTTTTCAGTCTGACATTCTTCAAGCATTTGCTTATCCTCCAGGTCTTCAGATGTTTTTTTATTTATTGCCTTTTGTGTGGTTCTTCAGTTAATTTGTCAGTTCCTGATCCTAGGTGATGTTGTGTCAACTTCAACCTGTACTCTGAAGGGAGTTCAGGTTTAAAACAGATTAAAAATTACTACACTGTTGATTAAGAAGAGAATTGTATGGAGTCTAATCAATATTCCTTCGCTGTCTCAACTAGTGTTAGTCTTCGACAAGTTTTTTCAGAGTTGTAAAATAAAAATCCATCTTCAGAATTTTAAATAATTTGCTTCAAATGCTTTTCTTCTTTTTTTGCTATGTATATCTTAGACTTAATAAATTATGTCAGACTTTTCATATTTCACTGCCTTTGTAGTACAAGATATGAGTTTTGGTAGGACTTTTGCATGGATGAGGACTACTGCTACATGGCTGCGGCATTGTTGATGGCTTCTAGCATACTGCCTACTGCTACTACTTTAAAATGTTGTTATTTATAAACATTTCTGTAAGAAAAGGAGGTGGATCTGATTCATGTTAAATAACTATTGATATTGAAAGCTGAAAGCAGGAAATAAGGAATGTGTACAAGAAACAAATAATATGAAAAATTTTTATAGAGGTAACCCAAATTGTGTAATTATGCACTTGTGAAATAAAACCTCAACTTCTACTAGAGAGTTGTCTAGTTTTCTATAGGAAATTATATGAGCATCATAATATGTGTAGGACACATTTCGGTATGATGTAGAGAGTTAGCATTGTAGTAGCAGTTACAGTTTCAGTGTCCTTTATATTGACATTTAATTATCAGTGGAGTCCAACATTGTCTTCCCTGTGAAGAATGTTCACAGGCTTATTTGAGTGGTAGAAGTCCATCTAGGATTATTTTCTGCAATTCATGGTCCTACCATGCTTCTTCTGAAAAGATATTAATCTCTATAAACTTGACATTGGCTTCAAATACACAGTGCATCAATACAGACTAAAGATAATTTTTTCATATTGCTTTTCTCCTATGATAAATGATTGCATGCAACAAAGAGATTTGTGTTAGACTACACATGTATGTCAGACTATCCTGTAGATTTGCTTGACCTGGATCTAGTCTGGGTAATCTTACTCCATCGCTACGTACAGGTATTACAACCGTGGTTTTAAAAAGAAAAATCAAAACTGGTCTTTATTATTAACTTTTGGACATAATCATAAATCTGGCACTTCTTCTACTTCTTCAGCATATGTCTGTTCTTTCATGTTCACGTTTCTGAACAGTATTTGTAGTAGTAGTAACTAAGGTTTAGCAAGGTTTATTTTAATTTCAAAACTTTAGATTTAATACATAATATCCTTGGGGGAACATGTACATAAAAATTACATACATTTTAATCTGAAAAAAATAGGCATCTGATTAATCACTCTCTTGTACTTCATCATGTAAATTTTTAACATATTTGGCAAAATATTTAGTTTTGACTTAGATGTCTCAGTGTATTGTATTTTTAAAATAAAACTATGCACAATTAGTTTTGTATATTATATAGCTCAAAGAACAGGTTTATATTTATGAATTTATCAGATTTGAAGTAGACTGTTTACTAAGTGTGAATGAACTTATTGAACGGTCTGTGTTTCCTGATTGTAGCTTCCTCATGTACAATAACATAAACTGGTTTGTGGTTTTAAAATATGTTTTTGATCTTCATGGTATTTCTGCATAAGAAGTCTGAATCTTCACTGAGAATTCAAAAAATATTCTAAAGAAATCTGTACTAATTTTATTGGTATCCAAAGTTTACACATGTCATAAATGTGAACTTTGTAAATTTTGTTTTACGTGTTTTTAATAATGTCTCTTCTTTGCATTTAGCTCCCTATTGCAGCTTAAACCCTATCTTGAGGAACGGTGGAATTGTAAATAAAACAGGTGGTCCCGCTGGAAGTAAAGTTCGCTATTACTGCAAACCTGGGTATAGAATGATTGGTCGGAATAATGCAACGTGTAGGCGTCACCAAAATGGCATGTATCAGTGGGATTCTCCTGTGCCAATCTGCCAAGGTAAGAAAATGTTTTCTTGTCAAGTATGCTTGAATAATATCATTGCAAAAGTATTTTAAAAAACAAAGATACAGTATTGTCAGTACTGGGTACTTGGAAAGGCTCAAAACCTATGTCAGAATCATGATAAAAATATAGCTGATGCCAACATTTCCTGCTTAAAATCCTGATTCCAGATACTGTCACTCTTGATTCCTCTGTGTTTGCTGAGGTAGAGATCCTTGTACTTTTTGCTGTGCTGAACAAAGGTTATTCCAAGATCATAACTGGGTTCCATGTCTGCCCTGGGGTAGAAAATTGATTGAATTTTTTTAGGGAACTGGCTTGAAAACATCCATTTTCAGTTTGCCCGAGAGCCATGAATCTGGGAACAGCAAACTGCTTCTTCATAAAATTAGCTATTAGGTATATTTGAGCATGGAATTAAACTCGGGCCTTTTACCTTTTTGATAAATGTTATTATGCAAAAAATGTCCCTTTTAGCACTCAGTCTTAAAATAAAAATATAATGTAGGTAGCACAATTTAGGAGTTCCATATCCGGTTTCCTCTTAGAATGTAGTCTAAACCTTTAATCATATTTCAAAATATAAAACAGTAAGAGAAGTATAGTCCTTTACACTGAAAAAGCAGAGGTTTGAAGGGGTACCCTGTGACAATCTTCTAATATGCTAAAAGTAGCTTCGAAGAGGAATGAAATAATTATCTATGTCCTTTCTAGATAGAGGAATTACAGCTAAGTTAACTTAAACAGGATCTTAAGTTAGACTGTTCTTAATGTTTTTTTATTCTTTCCTCAGACGGGCTAGGGAAATATTGGAATAGATTGCCTGTAGACAATGTGGAATTTTCATAATTGGAGGTCTTTCAGAAAAAAAAAATAGGTGAACCTTGGTCAAATATAATTTTGTCTTGTGATAGGAGAATAAATTAGATGACCATTCATGACTTTTTTACACCCACAGGCCTAGACTACACAGATCTCTTTTCAATTTCTTTGTTATTTCTGTATGTATCCAAGTCTGAGAGTTAGGATTTCTGTGGCATGACCCTCACTGATGTTTTCAGTTGGCTATCACAGACATAAGCCACTCAGCATGTTTTTTTTTTTTTGTTATGAATCCCACTTTTAGAGGTTTCTCTGTTGCTACTTTTAATTTTAGGGTATTTAAATGCTTTTCTTAGCACCACATTCAATGCCAGAAACAGGTCACTAAATGATAAATGCTTGTGCATTAAATTTAGGGATTTTCTAGTGTGTGGAAATAAACTCATATCTGTCTGTAATGCAGTCTTCAGCTTCTTTTCTGTATGCAATGAATTTGCATGGTTTAAAAATGAATAATACATAAGTATCTTAAAGGTATATAGTTGTATAGATATTTTAAAGGATTGCCATAATCTTTAAATTTACTAGTTCTGATAAATAAATTCCAGTAACACATATGGAACATTAAAGAGCAACCAAAACTGTGTCTCAGTTTCTAGGTAGTAAGAGGCTTTTCCACTTGCTTTGGTTACCCTTCTTTGGAAGAAGTATATTTTTCTGTTGTGCAAGACAATAGAGACAATTAAGTTTGAGTTGTGCATTCAGAGTGTAAAAAATACATATCTCCCAGCTGAGACCTGGCAGTCTCATCTAATCATTGATTTAAGTGGCACATTGACAGTTACTCAAGTCAGATTTTCTGACAACATCTTTATCATTTTAAAACCGTATGTAAAGCTGGGAGCTTCAAAATTCTTGTATGTGGGACAGTAGTGACATTATTTCCACTGTCCAAAGATGATATGCCATTTCAGTCAGTTTACTTCAGGTAACTGTATTTCAAACATCAAAGTACTTGCTATTTGGCGAAACTGGCTGTGCTAGCATGTTTTGTTTGGATGCTACAAAAGCCATTAGTAGCCTCAAG